TCGAAAGTAGGTAGGACAAAATATAAAAAATAAAAAGAGACAAAAGACTTAGGGATGGAGCCCTGTCCCAGGGAGGAAGTCGTGAAAAAGGAGAAGCTTCCAAACAACAGGAAAACCTCTCACTTGCGGGTCTGTGGGGAATTTTGGACTCTGTGGAACAAGGCAAGGGTGGGATGGTTTGAGAGAGTAGCGTTGAAACCTGTATATTATCATATGTGAAGTGGATCGCCGGTCCAGGTTCAATGCATGAGACAGGGTGCTCACAGCTGGTGCACTGGGATGACCCTGGGGGATGGGATGGGGAGGGAGATGAGAGAGGGGTTCTGGATGGGTAACACATGTGCACCCATAGCTGATTCATGTTGATGTTTGGCACCTCTACAATATTGTAAAGTAATTAGCCTCCAATTAAATTCAATAAATTAATTTTAAGAAAAAGAAATACAGCTTCTACCTCCTCTTAAAAAAGGGGAAAGAGGGGGGAATAGAACTGCCATATGACCCAGCAATCCCACTGCTGAGTATACACACTGAGAAAAGCAGAATTGAAAGAGACACGTGTACCCCAATGTCCATTGCAGCACTGTTTACAATAGCTAGGACATGGAAGCAACCTAGATATCCATCACCAGACAAATGGATAAAAAAAAGCTGTGGTACATATCCACAATGGACTATTACTCAGCTATTAAAAAGAATGCATTTGAATCAGTTCTAATGAGGTGGATGAAACTGGTGCCTATCATACAGAGTGAAGTAAGTCAGAAAGGAAAACACCAATGCAGTATATTAAGGCATACATATGGAATTTAGAAAGATGGTAACGATGACACTATATGTGAGATGGCAGAAGAGACAGATATAAAGAACAGATTTTTGGACTCTGTAGGAGAGGGTGAGGGTGGGATGATTTGAGAGAATAGCATTGAAACATGTATATTACCACAAGTGAAATACATCACCAGTCCAAGTTCAATGCATGAAACAGGGCACACAAAGCCAGTGCACTAGGACAACCCAGAGGGATGGAATGGGGAGGGAGGAGGGAGGAGGGATCAGGATGGGGGACACATGTACACCCACAGCTGATTCATGTCAATGTATGGCCAAAACCCCTACAATATTGTAAAGTAATTCAGTTCAGTTAAGTCACTCAATCATGTCCGATTCTTTGCAGCCCCATGAACTGCAGCACACCAGGCTTCCCTGTCCATCACCAACTCCTGGAGTCTACCCAAACCCATGTCCATTGAACTAGTGATGCCATTCAACCATTTCATCTTCTGTCATCCCCTTCTCCTCCTGCTTCAATCTTTCCCAGCATCAGGGTCTTTTCAAATGAGTCAGCTCTTCACATCAGGTGGCCAAAGTATTGGAGTTTCAGCTTCAACATCAGTCCTTCCTTCCAATGGACACCAGGACTGATTTCCTTTAGGATGGACTGGTTGGATCTCCCTGCAGTCCAAGGGACTCTCAAGAGTCTTCTCCAACACCACAGTTCAAAAGCATAAAGTCTTCAGTGCTCAGCTTTCTTTACAGTCCAACTCTCACATCCATACATGACTGCTAGAAAAACCATAGCCTTGACTAGATGGACCTTTGTTGACAAAGTAATGTCTCTGCTTTTTAATATGCTGTCTAGGTTGGTCATAACTTTCCTTCTAAGGAGTAAGCATCTTTTAATTTCATGGCTGCAAAACAGAAAAAGAGACTCAGATGTATAGAACAGACTTGTGGACTCTGGGAGAAGGTGAGGGTGGGATGTTTCAAGAGAACAGCATCGAAACATGTATATTATCTAGGGTGAAACAGATCACCAGCCCAGGTTGGGTGCATGAGACAAGTGCTTGGGCCTGGTGCACTGGGAAGATCCAGAGGGATAGGGTGGAGAGGGAGGTGGGAGGGGGGACTGGGATGGGGAATACATGTAAATCCATGGCTAATTCATTTCAATGTATGACAAAAACTACTGCAATGATGTAAAGTAATTAGCCTCCAACTAATAAAAATAAATGGAAAAAAAATAATTTCATGGCTGCAATCATCATCTGCAGTGATTTTGGAGCCCAGAAAAGTAAAGTCTGACACTCTTTACACTGTTTTCCCATCTATTTGCCATGAAATGATGGGACCGGATGCCATCATCTTAGTTTTCTGAATGTTGAGCTTTAAGCCAACTTTTTCACTCTCCTCTTTCTCTTTCACCAAGAAGTTCTTTAGTTTTTCTTCACTTTCTGCCATAAGGGTGGTGTCATCTGCATATCTGAGGTGATTTATATTTTTCCTGGCAATCTTGATTCCAGCTTGGGGTTCATCCATCCAGCATTTCTCATGATGTACTCTGCATATAAGTTAAATAAGCAGGGTGACAATGTACAGCCTTGACATACTCCTTTTCCTATTTGGAACCAGTCTGTTCCATGTCCAGTTCTAACTCTTGCTTCCTGACCTGCATACAGGTTTCTCAAGAGGCAGGTCAGGTGGTCTGTTATTCACATCTCTTTGAGAATTTTCCACAGTTTGTTGTGATCCACACAGTCATTGTCATAGTCAATAAAGCAGAAATAGATGTTTTTTCTGAAACTCTCATGCTTTTTTTATGATCCAGTGAATGTTGGCAATTTGATCTCTGGTTCCTCTGCCATTTCTGAAACCAGCTTGAACATCTGGGAGTTCATGGTTCATGTGTTTCTGAAGCCTGGCTTGGAGAATTTTGAGCATTACTTTACTAGCATGTGAGATGAGTGCAATTGTGCAGAAGTTTGAGCATTCCTTAGCATTGCCTTTCTTTGGGATTGGAATGAAAACTGACCTTTTCCATTCCTGTGGCTACTGCTGAGTTTTCCAAATTTGCTGGCATATTGAGTGGATCACTTTCACAGCATCATCTTTTAGGATTGAAATAGCTCAACTGAAGTTCTAGTTGTACTACATTTGGTAATATTATTTTTTGTGCATTTTCCATTTAATACAGATATTCAAATAAATTCATAGTATGGCCTTATTATCTATTTAACATCTGTAAAAGCCATAATGGTATTGTCATATTTAGTATAGATGTAAAAGATTTATGTCTTCTCATTTTTTTCTTAAAATATCTTTTATCAATTATATTGCTTTTGAAGTGAAAATAACTTTGGCTATTTTACTCCTTTCTAATGTAGTTTCTTTCTTTGTCATGATTTTGTATCATTTCTTTTCCTTTTACTTCTTTATCTGGACTACTTTAATTTAATTTTACCTAATCACTTTTTAATTTTTGGTTTCTTGGGGAACCTCACTAAATTTATTATTTCTTAGTTTTTGTTTGTGATGTATACATTTAAGGCAATCAATATTTCAGAAGACAGACTTTTGCTATTATATTTTCCTTTTAAATCATATAAAAATTGAGAACATTCACTTTGGATTTTTCTTGGGTTCATATGTTATTTAGAAATGTTTAACTGAACTTAAAACCAGATAAAGATTTTCACATTTTTGGTTATTGCTTCTAGTTTAAATTGTAGAATATTTCTATGAATCTGGAAACAATCTATATCTCTATTATATGTGGCTGGTGTGAATGAGGAGGAATTATTACATTTCATTTCTTTATAATTAATTAACAATTAAATTTGAATATTCACACTTCAAGTGTCCCTCTGCCAAAGTTGACTGAAGGCTATTATAATGACACTACAGTTCTATATAGTTCATATTAATGTAATCATGTTATGAATATATAGTGAATTTTTGGAAAATTTAAGTGTAATTAAAAACGTGAGTATTCCATATGAGTATATAAGTGTGTGCATGCACATATGTGTTGGTTAATTTTCTAGTTTAGATCTGTCTATAGTCTTACTGGTATATCTGCTTGCCGGATAGGCAGTGACTGGGAATTTTTTAAATCTCCATTTATGATTGCTTTTAAAAAACTTTTGAAATTATATTTATTTATTTTTAATTGATTGATGATTGTTTTACAATATTGGTTTGATTTCTGCCATGTATGAACATGAATTAGCCATACCTATACATATGTTCCCTCCCTCTTGAAACTCCCTCCCACCTCCCCCCCTTTCCCACCCTTGTTGGTTGTTACAGAGCCCTGGTTTGAGTTTAACCTACATACTTTTCTCAAATATTTCTTGAAGTTGTACTATTAAGTACATGCAGATTTTTTTAATTGTTAATAGTATGATCCTTAATACATTGTTATGAAACATGCTTCATATTTTCTAACATGGTTCTTGCCTTATATTGTGACAGTTAATGTACAGACAGTACTGACAGTACAGTTAATGTAGTGACTGTTAACTTTAGCAGTTCTATCAGCTTGTGCTGCATGATATCATTTTTCATCTTCTAAAATTTCCTTTTTATGTTTCATTTTAAAAAGTGTCATTAAGATAGCAGTTATTAAAATAATTCTTATATATATATAGTTATATTTAATAAAATGTTTTACATTACAAACATTCTTAGAATTTAAGTTTAAAGCTATTCCATATATATTTAAACTAATTTTAAAATTATTGTATTCTTTATATACTTTATTTGTGTGTAAGTGTATATAATTAATTTTTAAATATAATATATTGTTTCTTTGCATTCTCCTTTATCTTTTTCTTATATTTCACAATAATAGCTGCATTAAGTACAATATTTTAAATTATAACATTCTTAAAATTTAAATGGAAAGCTATTCCATATATATTTAACTTAATTTCAAAATCACTGTAAACTTTATATATATTATTTGTATATAAGCATATATAATTAATTTTTAAGTATAGTATATTGTTTCTTTGCATTCTGCTTTATCTTTTTCTTATCTTTCACAATAGATATTTTTTACTTTCCTCTACAGGAACTTATTCATTTAATATGCCTTAGTTTTATTAGTGCCCTACATTTTACAGTTTGTATTCTCTACTCAATAAAGAACAAGTTAGTGCTTTCACCTACTTCTCAAACAATGAAAAAACATTTATTCTCTACTTTTATCCACTGTTCATGCCATATTTGTTCTCTTGGATTTGAATACAAATGTATATTTACAATTTGAAATTTTATCATTAATATTTTACCTCTCAATATCTATTTAGATATAGTCACATAAGTTCCTTTCTTCAAATCTCCTTTCCTTACAAAATTTAGCCTAAATTAAATTTCTTCTTTAGAAGATGCTAAATATTTCCTTTACTTGGAGTCAGTTGGTAATTTCCCTCCATTGTGTAGTCACACAGGCATATCTGACTCCTTGCGACCCCGGCAACTGTAGCCCACCAAGCTGCCCTGTGGGCTTCCCTTGTGGCTCAGCTGGTTTACAGAGTCCAACAATTGCTATTACACTAGTCTTGGGGAAAAAAGAAAATGGAATGAGAGTGATGACCTGCGCTTCTAAGAATTTTACTCTGCTTTATATAGATAATGAAGAAGAAAGGGTAAGACATTAAAGGTTTCTAACACTTTGCCAAAGACTTGAATCAGCCAATGTTATTTTTGTGGGATTCATTCATGTTCTGTACATAGTTGTAGTTTTTAGTCTGTTAATACTCCACTGTGTGACTTTATGTTTTATTTCTGTGTTTACAACTTTAATGCACATTTGATAATTTCCATTTCTTGCTTTTCATGGAAATCTAGCCCTAATAAATGATTTTCTTCCTAAAATAAACTTTGTTATTTCATTTCCCCATACATTAAGGAAACTAAATATATGAGTGAGCATATCTATCACAAAGTGCATAGAGTCATGTGATTACATAACAGAGCATCAAATTGAAGTTTCCTGGCCCCAGTACCCGATTCTGTGTATTTTCCCATCACATCTCCTCCCTCCTTATCTAATTGCTGTCCTGACTTAATACTACAGAATCTCTGCTTGTTTTTGAATTTCATATACATGGAATCATGGGCTCCCCAGTGGCTCAGCAGTAAAGAATCCATCTGTGATGCAGGAGTGGAGGTTCTATCCCTGGGTAAGGTAGATGCCCTGAAGGAGGACATGGTAACCCACTCCAGTATTCTTGCCTGGAGAATCCCATGGACTGAGGAGCCTGGTAGGTTACGGTCCTTGGGGTCACAAAGAGTCAGTCATGACTGAAGCAACTAAGCACGCATGGACACATATGTGGAATCATATATCATGCAGTTTTCTTTCTGTCTCTGTTCACTCCTATATGATGTTTTTGCAGTTCATCTACTGCAAAAACTACTGCATCTACTACTACTGAATTTTTGCATAATTTGTTATTTTCCACTGCTCATAATGTAAATGTAACATTTAAGATCAATTCTATGCAATGTCTCTGGGTAAAAATGGAGTCTTATGTCCTCAGGGATAAAGAGGTTTTTGGGTTCAGTACTTTTAGGCGTGGGATTCCCTTTGCTGGTCCCATTCCCACCCCTACCACCCAATCCTAGAGTCTCTCAGTGGAGGAAGGAGAAGAACTTCCTCTGACTGCTCCTTGCTAACAGGTGTCCTGATGGATCACCTTTAAGGCTCATCTGGTATTGCCTACAGGATTCACACAGCAGAGGAGCGGCTTACCTGTGCCACCTTCTTCAGAAAACCTGGGTGTTGTATGTTCGAAAGCAGCAGGCCTAGGTCATATTCTTCTTTGGGGGGATGATACAAAATGCTCCTAATTGTTGTTCCCTACTACAGGGTCTCCAGCCACTTCACCTTTCTCTTTCAGAATTCTCCACTCTTGTGTCTGTCCTTAATTCTAGTGTTTATAGTTGTACTTAGTAGGGATTAGCAGAGAGAAATGAGTCTCTGACCCCTTGTCTGGCTCACTGGAATGCACCAATACAGAAACAGTGTTTATAGTTGTACTTAGTAGGGAGTAGCTGAGAGAAATGAGTCTCTGACCCCTTGTCTGGCTCACTGGAATCCATCAATACAGAAACAGGTTGATTCAGGGTTTATTTAGTTAACAAATGGTGTGAAGTCCAGCAACCAAAACTTTGGCTTTTATGTGACTTATTTTCTCAATTTCAACCCCTTAATTTCCTTCTAAAACTGAAACTCTGAAAAATATAGTAGAGAAATTCATGGATAGAGTCACAGTATCTAGAGAAATAAAAACACAGAATCTAAAAACTCATTTAAAATCTTGCTATGAGAGTTTTTACAACATGAGTAACAAAATATGTAAAGTAGATTTTCCTTATTTACATAAAAAAACAATGAAAATGCTAAGCATAACTGAGCTAATTTTAAATCAGAAGTACAGATATTGGTTAATGTCTTGGCTATATTAAAACATTCAACTTTATGTCTTTAGTATTAGCTTAGGATCTAACCCTTTCATTTTGTTCAGGAAACTAAGGATCCTCTGAAAGAACACACTACCTGCATTTTAAGAAATAATAAAATTTTTCATAGTGATTAAGTGAAAATATTTTACTTTTGTATAGAAATACCTGAAGTCCCTCTCAATTATGTCATGGATTCCAGTCTTTCAAGAAGGCAGTGATCTTCCGTGGGTGTGGCAAAATGGCTCAACTTGCAAAGTACAGTAAGTTTTTAAAAATAATACTATGTAGAGGAGGAAAATATGAAACTAAAAATTTTAAGAATAATATCAAAGATTTAAGTTGAATTATAGAAAGCTGAAGGAAGATGTTGAAAGTTAATGAAATGATGTAAATATTAAAGAATTTTCCAAATTCTTGCTAAAATTATATTAAAATTATAACCTGTTTTCAAAAATCTTTTATCACAGTTACATGAAATATGCTGTTGTTTCATGAGTTGTCCTTAAATGATATGACAAAATTATGCATTTTTTTCCATTATGAGATAACAGATTTATCACCTGAAAAAAGAAACTGTGCAGTGCTAACCTCGGGGGGGGGGGGGCTTAAAATCAGATGATTGTAAATTCCCAAATAAGTATACTTACAAGCACAAACTTGGGACTTAAAACGTGAGTTTGGATGCTGTTGGGTAACTTTAGCTCTTGTGAAATGGAAATAATATTCAGTTCAGTTCAGTCGCTCAGCCATGTCCAACTCTTTGAAACCCCATGGACTACAACACGCCAGGCTTCCCCGTCCATCCCCAGCTCCCAGAGTTTACTCAAACTCATGTCCATTGAGTTGGTGATGCCATCTAACCATCTCATCCTCTGTCGTTCCCTTCTCCTCTCGCCTTCAATCTTTCCCAGCATCAGGGTCTTTTCATATGAGTCAGCTGTTAGCATCAGGTGGCCAAAGTATTGGAGTTTCAGCTTCAGCATCAGTCCTTTCAATGAATATTCAGGACTGACTTCCTTTAAGATGGACCGGTTGGATCTCCTTGCAGTCCAAGGGACTCTCAAGAGTCTTCAACACCACAGTTCAAAAGCATCAATTCTTCAGCGCTCAGCTTTCTTTATAGTCCAACTCTTACATCCATGTATAACTAGTGGAAAAATCAATGCTTTGACCAGACGGACCTTTGTTGGCAAAGTAATGTCTCTGTTTTTTAATATTCTAAAAATAATATTATGACTGCATAAAGTTTAAAATGAATTACATTCTTTTTTCTAATAATAAAAGTTTTTTTCAAAACAGTTGAAATATAATATGCACACCAAAAAGTACAGACATCATTCCTTTGGTGTCTGACTTTTCTTGCTCAACATGTTTACAACAATCAAACTTTCTAAATGATCACATGGTGTATGAGGCCATTTACATGAAATATCAAAAATAGAAGAACAGACACCAAAAGCAGGTTAGTGATTACCTAGAGCTGTGTTGGTGATGGGAATAGGAAATGACTGATAACTGATCAATGATGAATACTTCCTAGATTTTTATAATGGTGATGGTTGTAAATTGTAAATACATTTAAGATAGCTATTTTATATACTTTAACTGGATGAATTTTTTGCTGTGTAAATTATACCACAATAAAGCCATTTTTAAAAACTGAAATTATGCTTGGGACTTCATTTAATCTTTAAAATATTTTGTAAAGAGAGTCATAGTTACAATATTTACTCTTCTAGTCAATATCATGCTTTATCCTTTCATGAAGTAGGTTTTTGTTCATTTCTCCCTTGTATTTTATATTTTTCCATATTGAAATCTTACAGAAATATAGGTATTTCCTAGTCATATTTTTGTAAATGGCATCTTTATTTTTTAAATTTTTAGTAATTTTGCTGTTGCAAACAGAAATACAATGAGATTTACAGTTTGACCTTAACTCCAATGACTTCTCTGATTTTATATATGAATTCTGTCATTTTGAATATATATTCCTCTGGACTTTTTATATAAAAAGCTATTGCATCTATAAACAATCACACTTCATTTCTTCCCTCCAGGTGCAATTGTTGTTTGTTTGTTTTTTACTTATTTTTACAGGGAAGGGCTTTATTTCCAATATTGAGTAGAAGGTACAGTAAAGATCCTATATGTGTCCTTGCTATATTAGCGGGACAATATTTCAATATTTCATCTTCAAGTATTATGTTTGTTTTAAGGTTTTTTCATCATACCTCCATTTATAACAAATCTACCATCTTCTGAACAGGTCATATTGTTTACCTACAGAGTGAAAATCTGACTTTGTCAATTCTCACTTCACAATCATCAAGTCATGAACTCCTTATTGCAAAATTCAGACTTAATGAAAGTAGGGAAAACCATTAGGCCATTCAGGTGTGAACTAAATCAAATCCCTTATGATTATACAGTGGAAGTGACAAATAGATTCAAGGGACTAGATCTGATAGACAGAGTGCCTGAAGAACTATGGATGGAGGTTCAAAACATTGTACAGGAGGTAGTGATCAAAATCAAACCCAAGAAAAAGAAATGCAAAATGATTGCCTGAGGAGGCCTTTCAAATAGCTGAGAAAGGAAGAGAAGAGAAAGGCAAAGGAGACAAAGAAATATATACCCATCTGAAAGCAAAGTCCCAAAGAATAGCAAGGAGAGATAAGAAAGTTATCAGTGCAAAGAAATAGAGCAACAATAGAATGGGAAACACTAGAGATTTCTTTAAAAAAAACTAGAGATACCAAGGAAATATTTCATGCAAAGATAGGCACAATAAAGGACAGAAATGGTATGAACTTAACAGAAAAAGAATATATTAAGAAGAGCTGTACAAAAAAAGACCTTCATGACCCAGATAATCACGATGATGTGATCACTCACCTAGAGCCAGACATCCTGGAATGTGAAGTCAAGTGGGCCTTAGGAAGCATCACTACAAACAAAACTAGTGGAGGTGATGAAATTCTAGTTGAGCTATTTCAAATCCTGAAAGATGATGCTGTGAACGTGCTGCACTCAATATGCCAGCAAATTTGGAAAACTCAGCAGTGGCCAACAGAACTAGAAAAGGTCAGTTTTCATTCCATTCTCAAAAAAGAGAGATACCAAAAAATGTTCAAACTACCACACAATTGCACTCATTTCACATGCTAGCAAGGTAATGCTTAAAATCCTTCAAGCTAGACTTCAACAGTATATGAACCAAAAACTTCCAGATGTTCAAGCTGGATTTAGAAAAGGCAGAGGAACCAAAGAACAAATTGCCAAAGTCCACTGGATCATAGAAAAACAAGGGAATTCCAAAAAAAAAAAAAAAAATCTACTTCTGCTTCATTGACTACACTAAAGCATTTGACTGTGTTGATCACAACAAACTGTAGAAAATTCTTCAAGAGATGGAACTACCAGAGCAACTGTCCTTCCTCCTGAGAAACCTGTATACAGGTCAAGAAGCAACAGTTAGAACCAGACATGGAACAACAAACTGGTTCAAAATTGGGAAAGGAGTATGTCAAGGCTGTATATTGTCACCCTGCTTATTTAACTTGTGTGCAGATTACATCATGTGAAATGCCAGGCTGGATGAAGCTCAAGCTGGAATCAATATTGCTGGGAGAAATTTCAGTAACTTGAGATATGAAGATATACCACCCTTATGGCAGAAAGTGAAGAGGAACTAAAGAGCTTCTTGATGAAAGTGAAAGGGGAGAGTGAAAAAGCTGGATTAAAATTCAAGAGTCAAAAAACTAAGATCATGGCATACACTTTTATCAATTCATGGCAAATAGATGGGAAAAAATGGAAACAGTGACAGACTTTATTTTCTTGGGCTTCAAAATCACTGCAATGGTGACTGCAGCCCTGAAATTAAAACTCTTGCTCCTTGGAAGCAAAGCTATGATGAACCTAGATAGCATATTAAAAAGTGAAGACATCACTTTGTCAACAAAGATCTGTAAGTCAAACTATGGTTTTTCCAAAAGTCATATACAGATGTGAGAGCTGGACCATAAAGAAGGCTGAGCACTGAAGAATTGATGCTTTTGAGTTGTACAGCTGGAGAAGAGTCTTGAGAGTCCCTTGGACAGCAAGGAAATCAAACCTGTCAATCCTTAAGGAAACCAACCCCAATTATTTATTGGAAGGACTGATGCTGAAGCTGAATCAGGACTGATGCTGAATATCCTGTGGAAGCCATCTGATGTGAAAAGCCAACTCACTGGGAAAGACCCTGATTCCGGGAAAGACTGAGGGCAGGAGGATAAGTTTCTCTTACAGGTCATTCCTGAGTATTAAGTAGAGCCACCTGTACTAAACAGTAGTTCTTATTAATTATTTATTTTTATATAGTAGTGTTATATGTCAATCTCAATCTCCCAATTTAATTCAAAGCGATACATACACCCCAACACTCATTGCAACACTATTTATAATACAACAAAAATCAGGACATGGAAACAACCTAAATGTCAATTAACAGATGAATGGACAGAGAAGATGTGGTCCATTTATGCAATGGAGTATTACTCTGCCAGAAAAAGAATGAAATAATATCATTTGCTACAACATGGATGGACCTGGAGATTGTCACACTCAGTAAAGTGAGTGAGACAAAGCCTCACACTCAATTCTTGTCATTCTAGACTGTTCCGTGTTCCATCCATCTCCAGATATTCATAACCTCACTTAAACCAACAATACTGGACTACACATAGCTCTCTTTATTCATTTTAATGTCTCTTTCTTCTAAGTCTTCATCATTTCTATCATCAATTCTTGGAATATCTTAGCCCCATTCAACTTGCTATCTAACATGTATGTATGAAAGTTTCTCAGTCATGTCTGACTCTCTGTGACCCCATGGACTATGTAGTCCATGGAATTCTCCAGACCAGAATCTTGGAGTGGGTAGCCTTTCCCTTCTCCAGGGCATCTTCCCAACCCAGGGATCGAACCCAGGTCTCCTGCATTGCAGGCGGATTCTTTACCAGCTGAGCCACAAGGGAAGTTTGATATGAGACATATTGTTTTTAAAGAAATTTCTTCTAAATCACCTAATCCAGGACATCTCCCTAACACCATTTCCTCACAGTTGATATTGGTAATCCATTATGAAATTGTCAGATATAATTCTCTCTTCTTTAATACCTAGCAATTGTGTTTACCATTGAAAATTACATGTTCATTTAAAACCATATGCTTATGTCTATAAACAGACTGTGAACAATTAGATAATAGGGACTGTGCTTTTTATTTTTTTAAACTGTATATAAATATCTGTTGCCAAACAATACACTTGACACACAGAAATCCTTAACAAAGACTAACTCAAACTAGAAATAGGATAGAGTCTTTATGAAAGTACAAGTAGTTTCCTATTTGTGTGTGTACATATATATATTCTATTGTGCTTTGATGTTATTAATTCAGTATATAATAATGGAGAAAAAATAAGCCAGTATAAAGAGGCTCCAGGAGGTTAACTACAACCATAGAAGGAAAACTGCAAGGTTTCAGTAGATATTTTCAAACTCTCCAAGAGGATAATGTAAGAATTGTAGAGTTTAAACAATGCATTTTTATTCCTGTCTATGTAAGTGAATCTGTTAACAATAAATGAAGAAGCAATAAATAAATTAGAATTTGACCAACTGCTATTAGGTGCATTTAAAAAGTGATTTGAGAGACTTTGATTCTACCTACATCTGCAACTAATGACCCATTTTCCTTGGAAAAAGTGCTGCCTTATTCCTAGATCTATTTCTTTGTGTACCTGGGGTAAATAATATCCACATTTCATGATATTGACAAAATCCTAGTATTCTTTGATACTGAATGTGAGTTTGGATTCAAGATGCAGAAGTTGTAAATGGCATATTTCCTTTTTTCCGTGACTGGAGATAACCATTGTGGCAGAAAAGTTAAGATTAAATGCCAAACAAACAAGCAATCAAACAAGGAAAATAACTAGAATGCTAATAGTAATTTGAAGACATCTAACTTGTAAGTCATGCATATTTTTCACTTGAGAGTGATTTTGAAAAGAGTTACTATTGACATGGCCATTTATTCACAAATTATAAGTTAATACCACAGCAGGGAAATGCTCTTATGTTTCACTATATCAAATAGATTGATATTAAACAAAACAAAGCAAATATGAAGTCTTCTAGCACGGGCTAAGTTAATGAAATGAAACATTTCTTTGTTGAAGAAATGACCCCTCGATAGAACTGTTTATTTTTTAAATCACAGAAGACTTCAACTAAGATGGGGCTAAGTAATTATTTATCCGTTACTAACTCAAGAAACCATGCCAATCAATATTAGTTGCCAAGATGGTGATCTAGTCTCTTCCTCTTCCTGCTGAAGTATACATTCAAGATTTATGAAATCCCTGCCTTATGCTCATTCTACTACAATGTACTGGTTGACTTTATATGTGCCTTGCCAAGTATGTAACACCTAGCTGTGTTCTGAATTTATATTAAGTTCTGAGTAATTATTTATTCAAGTGTGTCTGCCGATCTTTCACTTTTTCACTCTGCTCCAACATGCCCGTGAGTATCCAGACTCAGCTCTGTTTGTTCCAGTCGGGCTTATTTACTTCATTGCTCTTGTTATGAATTTTAGAATCTTCTTGTCCTGTTTCATCGATTCAAACACATTTATGAAAAAAATCAATACTACAAAAGTTTCTGTTGGTCATGGTCCTACAGCTTGTGCTTGCATTTCCAGGCAACTGTCCAGCAAACACCCCTGACCACATCCAGTTTTAGTATCACAGCTTGAGATGAGTATCCAGCCCCGAGGACAGCTTCCCACCACAAAGCTGCTCTGTGGCCTCACCACCTCCGCCCCTCATTGTACACAGGAAGAGCTTAACACAGCTCAGTCATGCAAGCCAGACTGTACCTTACTGGCCAAGACGGCCTGTTTATTAACCGTAGTGGTTATTCTCACTTAACAAATTTAATTTTGAAGAGCTTGTTGAGGTGGCAGTGGCTATTCTCAGATGACCTGAACCCAGGCTGTTTGCAAAGCATTGTAAATTTCTATCTCCAGTAGTTTTAAAATGTCATATACATATGTCCCTATGAAACCTATACATGTATTTTTGTAGTCAAATTACTCCATCTGCATAAATTCATTTTTTTGGTCCAATAAAACACCATTTATTAGAAAGTATGTCTTCTGAAAGCAATGTCATGTACTTCTGCAATTTCACATGTCACTGAAATATCACTACTGTTGAGCACACCCTCAGTAAATGACCCACGATGACTGGTGCAGGGTGAATGTGTGCTGAGCATTGAGAAAGATGTTGGAATTTCATTATACATACTATCTCCTTACACTAGGAACTTTTAAATGTCTCCCCTGTCTTTCCATTTTTTTAGCTCACATTCCTGACTCAGAACATATCTCTTTAAGAATCCTTAAAGACAGATGTTGACTGGACTTTTGCGGTGATCATTTTGCAATATACGTGAATATTGAATCATTGTTATACATTTGAAACTAATATAATATTATATGCTAATCATACCTTAATTAATAAATTAATGAAAAATTATTTGCCCTCTATCTTTAAAAAAAAAAAGACTCCTTTTCTCACTCTCACTTTACAGAGGGAGCTTTACATATGACACGACACTCCTCATGCTTACGTTGTCTCTTTCCAGAAACTGTTTTTGTAAGTATATTTTTGTGAGTTTTCCACAGGATTCTAAGTTCTTATTTGAAATAAATGAAATGAGTAGACTATTCAGATGTTCTGTTTCTACTTAATTTTTTTTTTCCTTGGTCTTTTATTTAAAAGACACATCGGTTAAACCTAAAGCTGCTAACATAAAAAAAAAAAAAACCCTTCAAGTAAGTGTGATTTAGATTTCCCCATAAAAAACCCCACATTCATTTCCTTTTATAGATCTTTTTCTTTTTAAATGTGGTTTTAAGAAAATGTCTGCCTGTATTTCTTATGTCAAGGTCTCGCTTTATTCTGTAGCATTGGCAATGGAAAATGTGGATTAGCTGAAAAGAATATTGGTCAAAGACTATCAGAAGATAACTATTTTTTCCCCTCAATGTGTTTTACAGACACTTGTTTTGTTTATTCTTGAAATTATTTCACACTCTCTTTTCCATTTTTCTATCACCTACACTAAAATATAATCTCCATTACAAGGCAAGAAATTTTGCCTAGATTATTTAACATTCTCAAGGTTTAGAAAAGCGTCTAGCAAATAGTTGTCACTAAAGCATATATATATATATATATATATATATATGTATGTATGTATATATTAAATACAATTGTTTATTGTTCAAGTTGAAACATACTACCAAATTTGCTTTCCTTCTTTTCTCAGTATATTGTTAAAATTTTTGAGTTTGATAACCTTGCATTTCCTTATAATTTTAGTGTTTTGTTATCTTATTTTATATTTTATCTCAGTGTTTGAAATAAATGTAATAAATGAAATGAAAATAAATAAAATGTATACTGAATCAATCTTATGAATTGATATCAATTTTCATGTATTTACTTATTTTTATGCACACCAGGTTATGATTTAAGTTCCTAATTCTGCATATGATGTATATATGGCAGAATGTACATATACACATTTGGGTTTTTATAACGGTTTAAAAATTCACAGCAGTAATTATTTAATAGTACCTCATTTTCTACTTTATCTACAATGATACCTAATCTATTTTTTCATTGATACACATGATTTCTTGTTTGTATCTTTTCTCTTTCAGTTTGCCTGATTTGCTTATGTTCCCATATCATTTTGTTGTAACAAAACTTTGTTGAATGTAGCTTTAGCAAAAGTCTTGATATCTAGAAGAAAAAGGTCGCTATTGTTTTTTCTTCTTCAACACTGACAGGTCTACTCTTGGATTTTTCTTTAAGGAACATAGCATAACAGGGGATATTAATTGGAAGTGAATTTAACCCCTGAACAATTTTAGGGTTAATTGGCATATTTATTAGACCCAGTGGTCCTATTAAAACTTAGCTGTGTTTAACAATATTTACATAAAATTATAGAATAAGTTCCATATAGATCTTGTCTATTTCTGTTAGATTTGTTCATAAATATCTAACAATGTTTCTACTGTGGCTGTTAATTAATTGTTTCTGTTTATTATTGACCTTTAGTATGAGAGAATTTACAAATTAATGTTACATTCAGTTATACTAATATTATTTCTATTAACTAGTCATTAAATTATTTTTATATTATATGTTGATAATTATATCATCAGCAAAAATTTTTTTAAGTCCTTATCTTTTAAATATTTTTGTGCTGGTCTTAAGGGTGCTGGAGAATCTCCTCAATGATTTTAAAATGAAGTGCTATTATCATCACTTTGTCTTAATGATTTTCTAAAAATCCACTAATACCTTGAGGTTAAGAATAATGTTTATCAAATTCAGGTCTGTCAGGGGGAAGGGATAGTTAGGGACTTTGGGGAGATCATTATACACACTACTATATTCAAAATGGATAACCGACAATGACCTATTGTACATTACATGAAACTCTACTCAATGTTTTGTGCCAGCCTGGATAGGAGTGGTGGCGTGGGAGAAAATGGATACATGTATATGTATGATTGAGTCCCTTTGCTGTTTACTTGAAACTACCACACCATTGTTAATTGGCCATACTCCAATACAAAATAAAAGTTTAAACTTTGAAGGATAAAAAAAGAATGTTTATATAGATTCTGGTATATATACTAAAGATTGTTTATCATGAAAAGTTGTTGAATTATAAGAAGCATGTATTCCATCTTTATGCAATCATGTTCTTTTATTTCTTAAATTTATTGTTTGTAGCATTTTATTTAACATTCTTCTGAAAGAGAATTATTACAATCCTGAAACAAACTGAATTTGGTCATCTATATGCTAAGAAGTTTTATACAGTGTTTGATATGACTTGGGACTGTTTTACAATCTTGTAACAATGTTCATAAATAAGGTTAACTTTTCCTTTTTCTATTAACACATTTTCATCTAATTTGGAAATCAAGGTAACTCCAGTTGCAGTGAAAAAAATAGCAACAACTCCTTTTCCCCCTATAGTTTACAAAACTTTGTATAATTTATAATGAAAGTCCTTGAAAGTTAATTTCTCTCCCCTATAAAACTATTTGACATCTGTGCTATCCATACAGAAACTTTTAAAATGATGTATTTATTTCAGAAAAATAGCTATAGCTTTATCAAATATTGCAGAGCTTACTTTTACCTATGTTAATTTTATCTTACACATTTGGTACATAGCAAATAGTTACAGTGTCTATGTAATTGCTCTATTAACTAAAAATTATCTCCTGATAATTATCTCTTACTTATTGAATAGGCCATGAATTTACTGGTTGAAGTTCTGTTTTTACAAGCACATGTTCAGTGAGACAACAGACTGGTTCCAAATTGGGAAAGGAGTACGTCAAGGCTGTACATTGTCACCCTGCTTATTTAACTTATATGCAGGGTTAAATTATATGCAGAGTACATCATGAGAAATGCTAGACTGGATGAAGCACAAGCTGGAATCAAGATTGCCAGGAGAAATATCAATAACNACAGAGGATGAGATGGTTGGATGGCATCACTGACTCTATGGTCTTGAGTTTGAGCAAGCTCCAGGAGTTGGTGATGGACAGAGAAGCCTGGCATACTTCAGTCCATGGGGTTGCAAAGAGTTGGACACGACTGAGTGACTGAACTGAACTGAACTGTTCAGTGAGAGTTCATAAAAATGACTTTTTTTTAAAGTTATTTTCCTTTAGAGTACATATTTTTGTTTTCTTCTTCAAATTGCCCCATCTAATTTATAATAAAAATAAAGATAATGATAGCTGCTATTCTATAGAATATAATATTATAAAGAAGTACAAAGAGTCCAACTTTCACTAAAACTTACTCTAAATAAATTTTTATCTTAGAATAGTCTTTAATATAAAAAGTACAAAAAATAATACAAGGAGTTCCCATAACCCAGTGTCCAGTTTCTCTTATTATTGGCAGCATATATTAGAATGGTGCTTTTTTCACAACAAATGAACTGATGTTGATATTAAAGAAACTGTTTTATTCATATTTCTTTAGTTTTTACTTAATATCTATTTTCTGTTCCATTATTCTATCCAGGACACCATCTAATGTTTATTACATTTAGTCATTCAATCTCTTTAAACTTTTGAATGTCACAGTTTGATTGTCATTATTTGTTAATGAAATGAAATGTCATCATTTCTTAAATATAAATTATAAATTTATAATTTATAACAGAAGTTATAAATAGCTAAAAACCAGAGCATTAAGGCATTAGTTGATTTTTGTTGCTACTCTGCCAAGAGATCTGGTGCTATTGTTCTGAGCAACAGAGAAGCAGTTATACAATGAGTGGTGTTCAGAAGGAAAAAAGAGAAAAGAGCCCTACTTATGAGCAGAGATAAACCTGAGTCACTCACATACATAGACAATGAAATTTGGGATGTAAGTTGATAATTATTTACACTAGGCATATGATGATTCATCCTAGAATTTTTATTTTGTATACACTTACTATTTTCATTATTAAAAAGTCATGGGTATGCATACATACAAATGTCCGTATAATCAAAGCTATGGTTTCTCCAGTAGTCATGTACAGATGTGAGAGTTGGACCATAAAGAAGGCTGAGCACTGAAGAATTGATGCTTTCAAACTGTGATGTTGGAGAAGACTCTTACAAGTCTTTTGGTCCACAAGGAGATCAAACCAACCCTGAATATTCATTGGAAGGCTGTTGCTGAAGTTGAAGCTCCAATACTTTGGCCACCTAATGTGAAGAACTGACTCATTGGAAAAGAATCTGATGCTGGGAAAGATGGAAGGCAAAAGAATTGGGTGGCAGACAATGAGATGGTTAGATAGCATCATCGACTCAATTGGCATGAATTTAAGCAAACTTGGGGGATAGTGGAGGACAGAAGAGAGTGGTGTGCTTCAGTTCATTGCAAACAATTGCAAAGAGTCAGACACAACTTAGGGACTGAACACCACTAACAACATGTACACACATATGTATATATACACATATATGTTTAGGTATATATACCTATATATGTATGTACATATTAGTAGTGTATAAATGAAAGCTCTCTCTGTGGTTTCAGTTTATATGATACAGCACAGTTAAGTCCACTCAAATGAAATGATTAAGAAGTTTAATTTTTCACAAAATGATTAAGAAGTTTAATTTTTTCTCCTTGTTTCTTCCACCCACTACTTGCAACCATGTTTTATAACAAATTATTCACTTTTGGAAAAAATTCAGAAAGTGATTCTGTTATACCATCATTTGTTTCTTAAAACTCTGGCTATTTATTATCACTGAATTTACCATTTTTAAGTCATAAAATGTTAGAACATAAAATTTATTCCATCAAAAAGGGAAATATTCTGTGCAATGAGAGGCGGAAGTACTGTGGTTTGTGTGGTGCTTTTTTAACAGAAAGATGAGATGAGAAAAATACCCATCATATCTTTCTTCAGGGATAAAAATTGACTGGAAATCATTAGTGTCATTTTTAAATGGGGAACTCGGGACATGTCTCTTTTTTTCAGGAGACTCTTATCCACAAGAATCAGGATCTTCTTTCTCTGATCAGGTGTGTGTCTGTGTGTGTCGCTCTGTGTGTTTCTAACAGCTGTTGTTCAAGAAATAAGAACTCTTGAGGTTTTAACCTCAAGAAAGTTTCTAAAAATATTTATGTTGTAAGGTAATTCTAGTTGTTCCTTAAGTGTTTGAACTGACTTACTGAAGGCAAGGAATACTTATTACTTCAGGGGTATATTATTTTTCACTTTATTTAATGATGGATAAATAGGATATACTTATTGAAGAATCAGAAGTTATGATGTTGCTATAAGATGAAGTCTTCAAATAAAGCTAAAAGAATAAATCTTTACTTTTGGGACTAGAGAACTGAATTTCAATTTAAAATTTCACGCACGAGTTTTCTACTCTTGTGCAAGTCACTTACCCTCTGTGACATACAATATTACTTGCTAAAAGGAAACAAATTATTTTCATTGTTTCCAACAATCATGATCAAATACAGAGCAACTTTTAAAAAAAATCTAAATATTATGCATACTTATTCAACACATTTTGTCTGAGAGCTATGTTAGACAATGTTAAAATAATATATAAACAAATGTGAGATTAGTTTTGTTAATGATGATGATGGTGATAACTTGTAAATGATGGCAATGATATGGACAGAAGCTCAAAAAGAGCATACTAGGAAAAATCATTCAATAAAAGTTTATATATCCTACCCAGATTTACCTTGCAAAGAAAGCAGTTACCGCTATATGCTAGTGTAGGTGAATTAAAAGCAACTATTACATTTTTTAACAGTTTTAAATGATTATTTTTTTATTTTCTAGTAAGGGAAAATTTAAAGGTTAATGCTACTTGATTTTATATGAATTCTCATTTCCATTCTTTCCTTTTTTTAATATCTGCATGCATGAACCTTTTCTGTATTCTCACTTTTCTAGTGTAAGTATATTAACTTACCACAAGGAGACAAAACTAGGAAAAAAAAAATCCCATTTTTATTTTATTCAGGAACCCTTTCTAAAAAATGAAGGCTCTGAATTCATCTTTGATATAGATAAGCAGTCATAATTATACAGTGGGATTGGTCTGAGATAGGTGGGTTCATCATGGCAGAGGTACATACTTTCTGTATAAATGGAGTTTACTCTTTCTGAACAATTTTAAAATACCCAGAATTTGATCAAACATATAAGTCACAGAAAAGCAATTTACTTTGAATCACTTATGTTCATATTATATTTTAAATCAAGGCTTCAAAAACTTGAAAGCTTTTTCTCCCCTTCATTAACTAACAAAGTAATGTATCTCACAATCTGAGGCAGCCTAAAATAATAACAGCTTTAGGATTTGGAGTTAGAAATGAATTTTAATCAGGCTTTTACCAGTCTCTAGCTTTGATATCTGGGACACTCCACAACTCTATGGACTTAAGTTTCCTTTTCTAGTAAACAGAGATAAAAAACATTTCATATTTACCTTAGTGGATCTCTGTGATATTCAATTCAAGTGACATAAATTTGAAAATGTTTCTTAAAGTATTATAAATTACTTATAAGTGGTAACACTATATTAAGTAAGCAGTATGACTTTGACCACCTCTAAAATTTAATTTCTTCAACCATAAAATATTCTTACCTTATTCATACATTTAATAATAAAGTTTGCTACATTACATATTATGTGAAAGTCTTTATCGTTCATTAGTGTCTGACTCTTTGTGACCCTGTGGACTTTAGCCCACCAGAATCCTCTCTCGATGGAATTCTGCAGGCAGGAATACTGAAGCAGGTTGCCATTTTCTTCTCCAGGGGATCTTCCTGACCCAGGGATCAAACCCAGGTCTTCCTCATTGCAGGCAGATTCCTTACCCTCTGAGAAAATAATGTTTTAGTTTAATTTTAGGTGTAAAAAGTAATTCATAATAGCATTTCATTTATAAAGAGGATTTTACATATTCAGTAATGATTACTATTCAAAAAGAAAGAAAAAATAATTTTTCACTTGTTTTGTTCAGAGGCAAGAGTCTTTGCTTATCTTTATCCTAAAATTTTAGACCCTATTTTATTCTTTGTAAGTTCTTCACTACAAAGAACATTAGATACACTACTATATACTCTTTACTACCAAATTCACATTATTGACACTAGATGCATATTATTTACTTTAACTTTTTAAAAGATCCACACCAGACTGTGTTAATATTCTTTGTCTTCCTTCATCCAAACCCCTCCCCTTTTCTTTCTCTTTCTTTCTTCTTGCAATTTGTGAGGTTATTAACTTGGTAAATGTGGCTCTGTGAATCAAACAAATGTGTAACTCCTTAGAAACCAGTCTTTTTCATGATATACTGTTTTATTTTGATGTTATATTTCATTACAATACATTAACATTTTAATAGTACATAAGATCTTGCTAGAGATATTTTGCCATAGCATAAATGTACTTTTGTTTATATCAGTTCAGTTCAGTTCAGCTGCTCAGTTGGGTCCAACTCTTTGCGACCCCATGGACTGCAGCACGCCAGGCCTCCCTGTCCATCACCAACTCCCGGAGTTTACTCAAACTCATGCCCATTGATTCGGTGATGCCATCCAACCATCTCATCCTCTGTCTTCTCCTCCCGACTTCAATCTTTCCCAGCATCAGTCTTTTCAAATGAGTCAGCTATTCACATCAGGTGGCCAAAGTATTGGAGTTTCAGCTTCAGCATAACAAAGCATAAAAATCATAAGGTAATACAAAATAAAAGTAATTTGATGTTATGCTTTAAAATGGATATGGATGGAAATGCCAACTTAAATTTTAACATTTATGAGCTGAGTGGCAGAAAGACCATGACATAGTGGCTTGAACTGTTTTTCTCCAGAGATGAGTGAATCTCATACTTATGCCAGTGAACGAGTAAAGTCTGGTGCTTCTAGACAATGCCAAAAGAGAACATGTATATTAACCACAAGTCAACGTGGACAAAACCGTAAGTCTTATGTTTCATTTGTCTCTCTCAGTGTACTGAGGTGAATCTTAGAAACTGTGACTAAATTGATGATAAGCATTCAGTTTATTTTACCTTCATGAAGAAAGCAGATATGAGATTCTTTCTCATATGCTATATGGTCTTCTCCGATAGCTCATGTGCTATTGGAATATATAATAAAATTTAGCAGAAACTGTTGTGTTTAGAATCTTTTCATGCCCTAAAAATGATGAAATTATCATAATAATGAAGACAGTAATTTCTAAGGGATTGCTGAACAACTAAACTTGTGTGTGTGTGTTCAGTCACTCTTTGCAACCCCATGGACTATAGCCTGCCAGGTACTTCTGTCCATGGAATTTTCTGGTGAAGAATACTGGAGTGGGTTGCTCCGGAAGTCCAGGGGATCTTCCTAAGCCAGGGATCAAACCTGAGTCTCCTGCATTGGCAAACAGATTCTTTATCACTGAGCCACCTGGGAAGCCATGAAAATCTAGCCTTAAGGAGAAGTAAATAGAAATTGAAAACAGAAGGGAACTATCAAATTTCCTTCAGTTCAGTTATGTCTTTAAACATTATGGAGGAGATGACTTGACCGCTATTCACAGAAATGTTTCTGGGTGGTGAAGAAGGTATGCTCTCTTAACCAATTTGGAATATGGTGAAAAATAAAGCCTGAGATAGCTTACACAAAAGGAAAAACAACAGGTTACTCTCACCTATAAATTTTGATTAAATGTTAAAAATATATTATCAAATAACATCATTTTACAATGATTAATTATAGGAATGAAACTGTGCACTATGTAATAATTAAAGTGGAAAGATTGTATGAATGTATACATAATGCTAAAAAGGTTTCAGATAAAAATTGATATGAATTTTTAATTAAAAAGAACTTAATTTTAGAAACCTCTAAAATATAAGTACTGCCTTTGATGTATTTTTTTTTCTAAAGCTACCATTATGCTTATTGCTAAATGGTAGCAGCATTTTCACTGTAGTTAGAAAAAGAGAATTTTCATGATTATTACTGTTGAATAATATTGATTATTTTGCTGGTGTTAGCATGAGTTAACAAGAAAAGAAAGAGGTAAATGATATAAAATTGGAGTTAAAAGGCAAAATTAATATTATTTGAAAAAAATATTTTTTAAGCCTTCACCTAAAATATTACAAACAATAAGGATATCTAGTAAGTGGACTTGATTGAAAATAAGACAAAATCAATTACCTTAATAACTACAAAACAAGGAAAATGTGATGAAAAACAAATGCCATATGCATAAAACAAAATATCAGAAAAGAATAGCAGCACACTTTTAAATCGAAAATCCTAGAAATAAACTTACTCATTTAAAATTGTACTGGTGAACATAAAATAAGACATGTGTTATAGAAATAGAAACTATTCAAGGATAAAAGACATTTTAAAAATGTAAATTATCTCTGTGTTAAAGGAGAAGGGGATGACAGAAGATGAGATGGTTGCATGGCCATCACCAACTGGATGCACTTGAGTTTGAGCAAGCTTCTGGTGTTGGTGATGGACAGGGAAGCCTGGCATGCTGCATGTAGTTCATGGGATCACAAAGAATCAGACACGACTGAGTGAATGAACTGAATTGAATTTATACATTTAGTGTAATTCTATGGAAAAACCATTGTATCATATTTTTAAACTGACAGATTCTTGGAAAGCTGATATTAAAATTCTTAAGGATGGGGCTTCACTAGTGGCTCAGACAGTAAAGAATCAGCCTGCTAATGAGGAAGACCTGGGTTCAGTCCCAGGGTTGGGAAGATTTCCTGGAGGAGGGCATGTCAACTCACTCTAGTATTCTTACCTGGAGAATCCCCATGAACAGAGGAGCCTGATGGGCTACAGTCCATGGCATCGCAGAGTCTGACACGACTGAGCGACTAAGCACAAGGCACATATGAAATGTAATGATAGGGAAAATCATCCGAAAAATAAAATATAATATTATATTGTGTGCAGTAACAAATACTCAAGTATTTTACATATTAGAAAATTTTACATATTGTTTAAATGGAAACATAGACTAAAAAGTATAGGAATAAGTGCAGGTACAAATTGGAATATATTATATGCTAAAGGTATGTTTCATATCAATGAGAACACATTGATTTATTGAGCAAATATGTTACAAAAAGTCAGTGTCCACTTGGAAAATAAATTTTTTATAAGTTTAACTCCCACATGACAGTAAACAGACACACACACACACACCCCTACCAAATAAACCAAATACAAAAGGCAACCACAAAATATCACAAAGGAACATGGGCATAACATATTTTATAAACTCAGAATAATTAAGACACTTTTAATCATATCAGAAAAAGCATAAGTCATAAAGAAATGTTTGATTAAGTCAACCATTACCCATTTTGACATCGCGAAAGTATCATATGTAAAGTTAAAACAAAAGGGTATCTGGGACATGTATTTGCAAAACATTGACATGAAGTGAACTAATAATTTTAACCTGAAAAGAAACAGACCAGATATAGACATCTCAGAGAAATTTTTTTTAAAAAGCATTGTTTAACCTCATGGAAAAATGTTTAATCTCATTCATAGCAGGAAAAACAAAGTTAGATTTTAAAACTAATACTCTGATATATATATATATATATATATATATATATATATATACTTAAAATATAAAGAAATAGAAATATTTGGTGTGAAGGAAAGTGTGAAGAAACAGGCTTTTGAATTTATTTTTGGTGCTACATAAATTGGTGTGGCTTATTTCGACTGAAACATTCAATCATTATAAAAATTTAAAAAGCATGTGCCCTTTAATTAATTTCTCCTAGGGAGGTACTCAAAAAATATGCACAGATATATGTGAATATTACTCATATCATTATATTTAAAAGCAAAAGCTAAGAAATCATTTAAGTATGTACTGGAAAAAAATAAACATCTGCCAATAATTAGATTTTGCTCATATACTGATGAGACACAATGCAAGAAGCTAATTAAAAAAAAATTGACAACTTTGTAAGACATAATATGGAATAATCACCAGGATATTTTCTTAACATTTCCAGAATATTTTGTGTACTTCCTTAAGCGTGTGTTTTTAAAAGAGAGTTGAAGGAAACTGTCTGCATTTCTTATTATATCTGTGTGAAAATTTTTAAATTTTTAAAATGATAACTGAAATTTATTCTAATGGAGGAGTAGGACTAGGGAACTTGAAGAAAGGAGTAAGAATGGATATTACATTTTTATACCTTTATTTTTAATTAATTTACAAAATACTTGTTTTACCTTTCCTGAGAAAAATAATCACAGAGAAAAACTGATATCAAGCCTCACCCCTCAATTAAAAACACTTCTAATATTTAAGTTAAACAGAAAGATAACAGAACCTTTTCTCATCTTTCTCACTCTTTTTTTTTTTTTTTGTCTTTGACAGCATCTCCATTTGTCCTTGCCAGATCCGTTGCTATAGCTATGGGGATTCATTTCATTGGAATGGCAATAATATGTAGTGCCATGATCATAACTCGTAAGTGATAATAGAGAAAGTAATTAGTAGCAATATTGATCTGGCCATTGTAATGCATCACTTTGACTAGTATTCAGAGGCACAGAAATATAAACTAGTAATATTGAGTATATTTTTTATTGAGCTTATATTTTTGCTTAGACTATAAGTTACTAACAATATAAATTCTTTCAATAACTATTATTTTAATAGCATTATTCACTTTGACTAGTATTCAGAGGCACAGAAATATAAACTAGTAATATTGAGTATATTTTTTATTGAGCTTATATTTTTGCTTAGACTATAAGTTACTAACAATATAAATTCTTTCAATAACTATTATTTTAATAGCATTATTCAACCAAGAAGCTCCAATTTCTTTGAAAGGTAAGTGAAAATTTTCTGATATTTTGATGCACAAACTGCATGCATCTATACATGGGTATAGGCACATATCTGATGGCATGAACAAGAAAGTGAATATGAAAATGATGAATTCTTGTCCATAATTCACTGTAGATGTATTTATGTATAATGAGGAGGTACTTGTAAAAAGTAAAGGACATCATTTTGGCATCCCTCCCTGTATAAATCAGTAGAGATATGTCCTTGGGCAGGATCATAATCAGTTAATTATATTGAATTTTAGAGTTGAAATAAAAAAAGTATTTAACCTGTCCAGATAAAATCTGCTCTTATGTTCAGACCAGGCAGCACTAGTGGTAAAGAACCCACCTGCCAATGCAGGAGACATAAGAGAGATGCAGGTTAGATCCCTGGGGTAGGAAGATCCCTGGAGGAGGGCATGGCAACTCACTCTAGTATTCTTGCCTAGAGAATCCCATGGAAAGAGGAGCCTGGCAGGCTACAGTCCATGGAGTCACAAAGAGTCAGACACGACTGAAGAAACAGCATGCACACACACATAATGTGCAGACATGCAGAATTAACAATGTACTCTACCTTTCTAGAAAATTACTGTGGTCCATGTCCTAAAAACTGGATATGTTATAGAGGTAACTGCTACCAATTTTTTAATGAGAGCAAAAGCTGGTACCAGAGCCAAGCTTCTTGTATGTCTCAAAATTCCAGTCTCCTGAAGATATACAGCAAAGATGACCAGGTTGAGTATTTGTTTTAATTCCCCTTTCTATATTTAGTCTTAAGATATGAACTGACTCACTGGAATGTGAACCTGAAACACAAGAGAGGCACTAAGACTCATATATAACAAACCCAAATCTTTCAGCATTAGAAATAAGAAAGCACAGAAATTCCAGGTTTTTGTATGTGGTGTTTAAGTCAGAATTATGCTAGTGGAGAGAATGCATTCCCCCAAGTGCGGGGGGGAAAGGTTAAATGCCTATAGCCTTGCATTTATGAAATTCTGAATTCTGATTTTGTTTGCGGTTTCAAACAGGATTTCTTTAGATTGGTGAAGTCATATCATTGGATGGGACTAGTACAAGTTTCCACCAATGGTTCCTGGCAGTGGGAAGATGGCTCCATCCTCTCGCCCAACCTGTAAGTTTCCTTATCAATTGGAAGGAAATGTAATATTGTATTTCATGTAATATTGCAATAAGGACTATCTATCTTCTGACTTTGTTATATTCTTGGAATTTGAAACCCCTTGTACATCTTAGAATTGATCTGGGACGGCCTCATTTCTGTGTTACCCAAGGTTTTACTTTTAACAAAAAAGATTTTACTCTCTGGAAATACTAAGACCTTGTATCATCTCATTTCAATATTTTTCATGCTGCAAGTACAAAATTTCATTTTGCTAAAAGCAAAACAACTAGCACACCCAAGTTCTGTTTCTGCATATTATTAATATTTGTTGAGTGTGACTTGGTTCCCAGGAACTACACAGAAATAACCACAGAGATGAATAGGGCTTAGAGTCTTCAAAAACTTCACACTTCAGAGATACAGTTATAAATAAATAACATATAATCCAGTGTAATCAGTACCCTCATGAAATGTGATGAGAGTGTGTTGGGGAAACAAACACAGAAATTGAAGAAGCATATGAAAAAATGTGAGAAAAATTGAGGCTTTAATGTATATAGATTGAGACCAACTAAGAGCAGTTACTAAAAAAAATTCTTAATTTTTTTCCCTAGAATGGCTAGTCTTTCCTACATTACCAGAGTTTGTTCTTTTGTCTTTTTAAATACATATACTATCAAACCTTGTACTTTTCATTTTCTCAATTTCACACTGATATAGCATCATTACTCTTTCTTCAACTTTCAATTTCCTACTGGTTCCTAGTAGAAAACAAATCACCATTTATTACATTAATTATATAACTATAAAATATTCAAGATCCTGGGACAAAATAGATATACAGATATAGCAATCTCTACATGAACTACCAGGCTTCCCAGGTAGCACAACTGGTAAAAAACCTGCCTGCCAATGCAGGAGACTTAAGAGACTTGGGTTCAGTCCCTGAGTTGGGAAGCTCCCCAGAAGGAAAGCACAACAACCCACTCCAGTATTCTTGCTTAGAGAATCTCATGGACAGAGGAGCCTGGCGGGCTATAGTTCATGGGTTTGTAAAGAGTCAGACAGGACTGATATAACTTAGCATGCATACACATGGAATAGCTAAACACACATATGCACACACACTTGTATATGTATATTAGAGGATTTCACAGTTTATTTTTATATTTTTTACCAAGTAAAATTGCATATATCTGAAGAAGATTGTTTATTTTTGCACAAACCAAGAATCTGCCAACTTCTAAATTGAATTCTGAATTCATTTCTAAGTATTTCATTTTTTTTTGCTTTCATTTTGACTTACATACATAGATTAAAAGATTTCAGACTTTTCAAATTGACTAATTTCTAATGTACAAAAAGTAGTGACATAATTTATAATAAAATGCAATTTTTATTGTTATCTTAGTTGGCTGTATTTTGCATATCTATGAACTAAGAAAGAACACACATGGTCCTAAAATCTCCTGAAATGATATTATTTCAGTGTCTATATTTAAATATTATTCCATGTTTGTATTTCTACATTAATAAAGCTGTGAATATAATCTGTCCTTCTCTCTAATCTAGACTAACAATGGTTGAAATGCAGAATGGAACCTGTGCAGTCTATGGCTCGAGTTTCAAAGCTTATACAGAAAATTGCTTAACTCCAAACACATACATCTGTATGCAGAGAATTGTGTAAAATCTTATAGTTAATAAAATATGAAGTATTCAAAGACTCAAAAGCCATTCTCTGTTCTCAAAGAAAGCTCACAACAAGAATAGTTCTTCCTGTGTTCAAGAATGTGTTCAACACACATATTTCTTGAAGAAAAGAAGAAAATTCTATTTAGTTACTGAATTTTTCCATGTATAGCATATAAAAATTTTTTTTGCAGGAAATAAAAGCTAATAGATAAAGACAAAAAGGTACACATATACTATGGAGTAGTACTCAGCCATAAAAAAGAGCAAAATAATACCATTTGTGGCAACATAGATGGGCCTAGAGATTGTCATACTGAATGAAGACAGAGAAAGAAAATTATTGTATGAAATAGATTATTTTTGGAATCTAAAAAATAAATGATATAAATGAACTTGTCTACAAACTAGAAACAGAATTATAGACCTAGAAAATGAATTTATGGTTACCTGAGAGTGGAAGGATACTTAGAGAGTTTAGGATTAACATGTACACACTGCTATATTTAAAATAAATAACCAACAAGAAACTACTGGTTAAAAAATGGAAAGGGAACAAGATAATGATATAGATGAGATGTGATTGGCCATGTGCTGATAATTTTCCAAGCTAATTGGTGGCTCCATGGGGATTTACTACACTATTTCTTCCAGTTTTGTGTATGTTTGAAATTTTCCATAATAAAAAGGTTTTTAAAATTTGTTTTAAAAGATTCAAGCTTGGTGGAGGGTATATGAGATTTCATTTAATATTCTTTACATATTGTCAAAATGGCTATACTACCCAAAGCAATCTATAGATTCAATGCAATCCCTATCAAGCTACCAACGGTATTTTTCACAGAGCTAGAACAAATAATTTCACAATTTGTATGGAAATACAAAAAAACTCTAATAGCCAAAGTAATCTTGAGGAAGAAGAATGGAACTGGAGGAATCAATTCTCTGCCTGACTTCAGACTATACTACAAAGCAACAGTCATCAAGACAGTATGGTAAGGGCACAAAGACAGAAATATAGATCAATGGAACAGAATAGAAAGCCCAGAGATGAATCCACGAATCTATGGTCACCTTATCTTCGACAAAGGAGGCAAGGATATACAATGGAAAAAAAACAACCTCTTTAACAAGTGGTGCTGGGAAAACTGGTCAACCACTTGTAAAAGAATGAAACTAGAACACTTTCTAACACCATACACAAAAATAAACTCAAAATGGATTAAAGATCTAAATGTAAGACCAGAAACTATAAAACTCCTAGAGGAGAACATAGGCAAAACACTCTCCGACATAAATCACAGCAGGATCCTCTATGACCCACATCCCAGAATTTTAGAAATAAAAGCAAAAATAAACAAATGGGACCTAATGAAACTTAAAAGCTTTTGCACAACAAAGGAAACTATAAGCAAGGTGAAAAGACAGCCCTCAGATTGGGAGAAAATAATAGCAAACGAAGCAACAGACAAAGGATTAATCTCAAAAATATACAAGCAACTCCTCCAGCTCAACTCCAGAAAAATAAATGACCCAATCAAAAAATGGGCCAAAGAACTAAACAGACATTTCTCCAAGGAAGACATACAGATGGCTAACAAACACATGAAAAGATGCTCAACATCACTCATTATCAGAGAAATGCAAATCAAAACCACAATGAGGTACCATTACACGCCAGTCAGGATGGCTGCTATCCAAAAGTCTACAAGCAATAAATGCTGGAGAGGGTGTGGAGAAAAGGGAACCCTCTTACACTGTTGGTGGGAATGCAAACTAGTACAGCCACTATGGAAAACAGTGTGGAGATTTCTTAAAAAGCTGGAAATAGAACTGCCATATGACCCAGCAATCCCACTTCTGGGCATACACACCAAGGAAACCAGATCTGAAAGAGACACGTGCACCCCAATGTTCATCGCAGCACTGTTTATAATAGCCAGGACATGGAAGCAACCTAGATGCCCATCAGCAGACGAATGGATGAGGAAGCTGTGGTACATATACACCATGGAATATTACTCAGCCATTAAAAAGAATTCATTTGAATCAGTTCTAATGAGATGGATGAAACTGGAGCCCATTATACAGAGTGAAGTAAGCCAGAAAGATAAACACCAATACAGTATACTAATGCATATATATAGAATTTAGAAAGATGGTAACAATAACCCTATATGCAAAACAGAAAAAGAGACACAGATGTACAGAACAGAATTTTGGACTCTGGGAGAAGTTGAGGGTGGGATGTTTTGAGAGAACAGCATCAAAACATGTATATTATCTAGGGTGAAACAGATCACCAGCTCAGGCTGGATGCATGAGACAAGTGCTCAGGCCTGGTGCACTGGGAAGACCCAGAGGAATTGGGTGGAGAGGGAGGTGGGAGAGGGGATCGGGATGGGGAATACATGTAACTCCATGGCTGATTCATGTCAATGTATGACAAAAACTGCTACAATACTGTAAAGTAATTAGCCTCCAACCAGTAAAAATAAATGGGAAAAAAAACATTCTATACTTGAAATTTTCAAAGTGAAAGTTGAAAAATCAATAAATACACCCTCAAATCTTCAAAATTCCTCTACAAATTTAATAAAGCATATGACATGTTTTACAGAAGTTGAATTATTCCTTGCCATAAGAATATGGCATTAATTGCCACAAAACTTAGAAAATAAGTAGTTGAATTTGAAGGAGACTTACAAGGCTTCTAGGGAAAAAGAACTCTATGCCTGAGTTGAAACCTGTAGAATGACTAGAATTTGTCTGGGCAAATCATTTAGGGTACCAGAATTCTTGGCAAATGAAATGCTACATGCAAACATGTAGATGTTAGAAGAGTCGGTGACTAGGGAAAGCCGGTTTGGTGGAAGTAGAATGATAGAGAAGATGAGGAACATAAGATGCGGTGGAGAGATAAGCAGAGTAATAACTAGTAATAACTTTGTATTTTATTCTCTATTCTCAGGGCAATTACTCTTTGTGAGTTTTATGAAGGGCATTAAGAAGTGGGTTGAACAGCATATTTAGGTGGAAATTAGTATAAAATAACATGAAGAAAACTATTTTCTACCTAGCCAATCAAGGGCTGAGGAATGTCTTAGTTCAACTTAAGTTTTTAAATTATAGCCTGAATTTGTGTAATAGGCACCACCCAGAATTAAAGAAATGGCAACCCACTCCAGTATTCTCACCTGGAGAATCTCATGGGCAAAGGATCCTGGCTAGCTACAGTCCATGGGGTCACAAGAGTAGGACAAGACTTAGTGACTAAACCACCACCAACATTCAGTCATGTTTGCCTTAAGATTTTATATTAAATTTTTAAGTCATAAAAAGCATGCAAAAAAAGCACATATGTTTGCTTTGGAGAAATTAAGAAATTTAAATTGGGCTTGGCTTCTGTTTCTGGAACTAAGGAGGGGAAATTATGAAGTTTCATTGAAACTAACAACAAAGAAGTTTTATGATATAGTGTATACAGTTTAGAGAAAGCACTGCTAAACAAACAATGGTAAAAACACTGTGGAAACTCAGAATTTAGTGAAAATTAAAACCCTGAGAGCAAATCAACCACAGAAACTAACTTTCATTCTGAGGGTTTTTAATAATCTTGGGGAACCTTACTTTCTGTTTTGATGGTTGTGATGAAGCACTGGAAACAAGCAATAAAGTTCAGGGGCCACCTAGCTGAAGAATTAGATACAAGTTTTCTTTCTAAACCTGGGACCTTCAAAGGCTGCAATCTCATATTGTTGTTCTTGTTTAGTCAACAAATAATTTCCAACTCTTTTGCAACCCCATGAACTGTAACCTGCCATGCTCCTCTGTCCATGGGATTTCCCAAGCATGAATACTGGAATGGGTTGCATTTTCTTTTCAGGGGATCTTTCTGACACAGGGATCAAACCCGCGTTTCTTACATCTCCTGCATGAAAAATAAAACTTGTACTTCAGGAAATAGTAACAAGGACCCTTGCTAGTGAAGCAAATCAGAATATGTCACCCCAAAATATACCTCTTTGAGATGAAAAGCATTTTGAGCTAAAAATAATTAAGAAGTAACTTGAAATCACTACCTCAAATATATCTGCACCCTATTTTCATAGCATGGTTATTCAAAACACCAAGACATGGACACAACCCAAGTGTCTGTCAACCATCAAACAAATGAGTGCATAAAAAAAGTGTGATACATAAACAAGGGAATACTATTCAGGTATATAGAGGAAGGAAACCTTGTCATTTGCAACAACATCAGTGAACCTGGCATAAGCCAGACACAGGAAAACACTGTATGATCTCAGTTCTATGTGGAATATAAAAAAGCCAAATACATAGAAACAAAGAGTTGAATCATGGTTGCCAAGGCTTAGGGGGAGGGAAAATGGGAAGATGTTGGTCACATGTACAAATTTCCAATTATAAGATGAATATGTATAAAACAGATAACTAATGAGAACGTACTGTATAGCACAGGGAACTTAATACACTGTGGTGACCTGATGGGAAGGAAGTCTAAAAGGAAGCGGATTTATGTACATGTGTGGCTGATTCATTTTGCTGTCCAGTAGAAACTAACACCACATTGTAAAGTAACCATACTCAAATAAAATTAATTTTAAAAAGTAAAATAACAAATATATAAGATGAATAAGTTCTGGGGATTTGCTATACAAGTTGGTTGCTAAGAGAGTAAATCTGAAATATTTTCACACCATAACAACAACAAAAAAAATTGGTGATTATATGGAGTGATACATGTGTTACTGAAGCTGATTGTAGTACTCATTTCATAACATGTGTGTAAAGCATCATATTGTACACCTTAAATGTATATAACATTATGTATCAATTATATCTCAATAAAACCTGTGAGGGGAAAAAAAACTGTTGGTGGTTTCCTTTCATGACCTAAACAAAACAAAAAACAAAGAGAAACAGCAAATACAGAAAACAAGGTCTATCTACCCTTCTTTTTTTCTGTGTAAACTCAGACAATAAACTCTCATTTGACTGAAAACA